TTGAACGATGCCATAATCGTTTCTATTCTTGAACGAGACAGATATTTATATGATGAGTACTATTACTATTGCCATGCACGTGCTAACGCACCAGAAGAATACTATTATAGACCCCTCCGTAGAAAGCACAACGCAGATCAACATCCTCTTTATGTCTTGGATATAATTTCTATCATATGGAGCTACATTCCTGAACAGTATTGGTTGCCCTCTCTTGTGAATTTAATGTTAAGCTGCAAGAGTATTGCCAGAGCATGTTTATCAAAAGAGGCCATAGCAAGTCTATGGATGCGATCACCAGGATTTCATGTGAATTCAGAGGGTTTGATGACATTCATGTTGCGAGACTTGTTGGAAATTTGTAAAATGTATCGAAACGATTGTGCGACTATATTCAAAAAAAAATTGACCATCTCTCGTATTTTGAAACTGTGTACCAAGGGGCTTAGTTTAACTGAGAAATTCGAAAACGTGACACTCCACAAAATGTTTATTTCTCAGAAATCTCTGATTGAGCTGCTTGGAATGCAAAGTAGAATCAAGTTCTTGTCATTCGAGGGTTGTAAAACCTTACAAGACGTTGAGAAACCAGTAGTTTTGAAAACACAACATTTAACTGGACTTTCCTTTCTAAATTCTGAGATTTTCTTTCCCAACTCTACAACGTTTCCCAAAACACTCCAGTCATTAGAATTTTTTAATACATTGTCTGAGAGCGATCAGGGGATTACAAACAAAATTTGGTCGCAATTGAAAACCTTGAAATTATGGTCTGATACTGATTTTCTTCATAAATGCAGTTTTCAACGGGTGCCTCTGACACATCTCATCGTTCCTGGACTGCAATGTAATATCCCTGACTGCGTTGTTGGTTTAACATTGGTTTCATTAACATATCGTCAACTCCACAAAAAAGCTGATTCAATTAAGCAGAATATGTCTCCATTCAAGCAACTTAAGAGCTTAGAAATTCGAAAATTGAAAATTTCTCGAAACATCCCTTTGACCAAGTTGTTTGAGCTTCTTTTTTGTAGTGTTTCCAAACCTTAAATATCTCACTCTTCCAGAATCCATCATATACAATACGAAGGCAAATCTTGAACAGAAAAAAAGTAACGATGATGAAGAAGAAAATGATGTAATTGAAACCTACAACAATACTTTAAACAGTACAACTTTCACCCCATTTAAAAACCCCTTTGCCTCAGACTCATTGGTACAAGTCAAAATATTACACAGCTCTAATGCTTGGAAATTCTTTTTAGAATGTTTATTGTATGAGATTCAAATGGAGTATCCTTCCCTCAATCTCCACACGGCCCTGGAATTGGTGACAGATGAGAAAGACGTACATCCTGTCACTCTAATCTCCAGAGCGGGTTGGGACATTCCGAAGAGTTGGCTCAATAAGCGTACAGAAGAATTCTTTAACATGATTCATCGTTGGTATCAAGTATACAATGACTATCCAAGAGTAAGACGTAAAATTGATTCCATGAGACAAACACTTATCACCTTGTGCTCATTTACAAACCCAGTTCCGAGCCAATCTATTGCTGATTTGAATGATAGTGCATGGGAGTTTCAGGGAATTAGTTTATTCTTAAATCAAGTATTAGATCTTCGAAAAAAACAATTAGCTATTTTTGCAGAATATGTTCCTCTGGAAACGTGTGAACCTGCAATGAAAATGCAAAATTTGTTGCAAGAAATTTCTAATGAATTCGAAAAAGATATTTGCATTGCAATGCTGTACAATGTTGCAGATTCTAAAATGGGAACCTACATCCATGAGTTGGCAGTTTTGGTGAAACAGTTGGAATATTTCTTGATCGAGAAAGATGTGAGCACCACTGTATTGAGACCAAATGAATGGTATTCTGAAGATATTGTTGAAGTGTACGACATTAAGGACGAAGACTTTATTGAAATTGATGTTGGAGACGATGACAAATTGTCAAACGAACTTGATGAAGAGATGTTGGACAATGAAGAGTTGGAGGATTAAAATTTTCTCATAGAATTCTTTTTATTTACAAAACATTATGTTGAGATTAGAGAACTGCTTTCAATACTTTTGCTTGTACGATGATTGAGACCAATTGTAACGCCTTCCACATTGAGAACAATTCATATGATCACATCCTCCATTCTTTTCAATCACCACTCCATATCCAGGACATGATCGATAAATTGTATTTGCATTCTCCAAAAGATGTTTCTGAGTTTTGGCATATCCATTTCGATCTGAATCAAATTCAGCACAAGTCATTCCTTCATGCCAAATAGTTTTGTGAATTTAACATGTTTTTCTGTGACATGTTTTACAAGTGACAATTGGTGCCTTTTCTTTTTCAAAATGAATGAACCCATCACCACAATTATGTTCACACCAAATAAACCCATCTTGTGTACTCATAAACGCATTCAGCAAGAAGCGATCATAACGATCAACAAGAGAATTCTTTCTGTGTCCTCCTAGTTGACGCAAATATTCGAGAATGTGTGAAGAATCCATGACAGCGTTACAATTTTCATCGATGCAACGAATTTCTCGAAAATGATTATTATTGATGCGTTGATCCAAATAATTGACAAGACAATTGTCACAGACCGTACGTTTGGTACATGTTCTACATGGATGAATGACAAAAGGAGAGATGGAATATTCATCAGCACAAATCGAACACTCTCCTGAGTTGTGTGATGAATGAAAAGTTGTGCTTGTGGAATTAGATGTGGTGTTCTTGTGATAAACAGGAACGGCTGAGGATGATGCAGTGGGAGGTTTTCCGTAGTATTGGTTGGGAGGAAATGGATACATTTTTTTGGTTCTGTTCTTGAATTCACGTTGGGAATTCTCATATCGAAGTTGTTGTAAGACTAAACATTGAAAACAATATTAACAAAAACATTTTTGAAGGCATTTCATCCAATTTATTGGTTGATATTTCTGGTATGAAAACGGCAAGTTGGACGATGGTACGAATTATCTTTTTCTAAAATCAATTTGTGATCGGCACCACAAGACCAACAAAATTCAAAATTACAAACGCACTTGACATGATCACAATCTTCCTCAACCTTCTCAAATCTCAAATGACAATTTGGACATTCTTTAGTAATCTGGTGAATGAGAGCTAACGCTTTTTTTTCTTGAGATATTTCAAGAATTCTGCGTTCGTTTTGGTCCAACAAGAATGGATTGTCTGATTCTTGTTCGATGTCGTATAGATCTGAAGATTTTCTTTGAATTGTGGAACTGCCATAATCTTGCATTTCATCACAAGTTAGACCTTCATGACATTTTGTTTTGCACACAAAGCATGTTTTTTTATGACATTTGTCACATGTCACAATTTGGGCATGTTCATCTGCAATCACTCCCGAACCACATCCATGAGCACACCGTACAAAACCTTTGTTATTTTCAAGTACTTTCCAAAATAAAATAGTGTTATATTTATCTGCTACTTCATGTGAAAATCCTTTCAAAAATTCCAAAACATTTTCGCTGTCATAGCTCGTTTGACAACTGACACATTTCATTTCATGACAGTGATTGTTATTAATATCGTGTTCAATGTTTTTGAAAATACAATCAGTACAGACACTTTGTTGACAGTATGGATTTACACAAGGTGTCGATAGGATCCTGTCTGATCTCACTGGAGATTGGTCCAATAGGAAAGGATTAAAACAAACAACACATTCGTAGCTTTCTTTGTTGTTATTTGTCAAACAAGAAAATAACATCGATGAGAAGGGAGAACTACTCGTCGATGTGACAGGTGGCAGGCCAGATCCTCCTTTTGGAACTTGGTTTTGTCGCGAGAAAGGTTGAGTATGCTGTCCGTAAGATGTGATGATTGCGATGATTGTGGTGATTGCTTCAGTTGCGCATACTTTGACATTTTCTTTCCTTCTGGCATGAGGATTGATTTGTCAGTTTTTCAATATTTTTTTTTGAGGATGAATTCTCAAAGACCAATTTTGAATTCGCAATCACGATGTTCGGAATTCTCATAAAAAAAATTCAAAATTAATCTTTTGACATCGACGCCTCCTTCCATCCAATTTGAATTACCACCTTTTCATCATCATGAGAAGAAACAAACAGAATCAAAAAACCATTCCTTTCATTCAAGAAAGTAAATCATTGAATGAACTTCAACAAGAATATAAAGGAAATGTTTGGATTCGAAAAAATTTAGAATTGATCATTGAAGATGTCCAATCGCAGTGGGAACTTGCTCTATGTAATTGGAAAGATTATTTATTGGAGATACATTCAAGAAGAAGGAAGGAACAAGTTTCTTCTTCTTCCATGGATGAAAAGGAACCAAAAAAAGAAACTATTGTTGAAATGAGTTCAAATTTGGAATGAAGTAAAGATCAAGATGGAAATCATGTCCATGTGGAAGAAGGAGTTCAAAAACAGAAAACAATGTGTGAAGGAGTTGTGAATAATGAAGAACAGCATCCACAGAGCATTCCTTTGAATTTGTTGATCAATGGTCATTTGAATGAGAATTTGGGAATTTCACACACTTTGAAAGTGGAACATGTGAATGTAGACGCTTTTGCTTGTGACACTTCTTGTTGTCATGGATCTTCCGATTCCTCAGTTATCGATTATCCAAATGTGGATTCGATGGATGTTTCGGATGATTTTGAGGTTGTGAATGAATATTTGATTACACCAACAACTCTTTCGATGGATCAAGAAAACAAGATTCCAATGGAAGTGACCTCTCAGGAAGCCTTGGTGACAACAATCAAGGGTACTGATGTCACACAAAAGGGAGATGGAAAGGAGGAAAATGAAAGTTCAGATAGGAATGTGACACAATCTGAACAATTGTTCAATGCATCGAATCATCTTTCAAATTCTTCAATTTCTGATAACAAACCATTGGAGGAAACACAATCCTCTGATTCTTCCGATCAATCTTTGATCACTTCATTGCAAGAAAGCTCTCTGATATTTCCGACTATTGAAAAACAAGATTTTGTTTTCCAAATGATTCGAGGAGTCGGAAATTGCTTTTACAGAGCTTTTGCCTTTTCCTTTCTGAAAGTTTTAGGAGAGAGAGAAAGACCTTTTCGAATGAGAATTTGGAATCATTTCATTCAAAACGCTTTCAAATTATTAGAAAAAAATTTCACTCTTCTACATGAGAATTCCAATTTCAAATTTCCTTCTTGGTTTTTTGACGCAAAATGAAAAATTGGAACATTTTTACAACAATTAACACAAACAGATCCAGAACACTTTCTAGAAAACTTTTCTCCCATTTCTCAACTCGTTTCACTCATGAATCACGATGACTTTTCAAACGGAATGGTCCTTCTGCTTCGATATATAACCGCAAGTTATGTCTTTCAAGAAAATCATTCACTCGATTTGTATTTCCAAGTTCAAAGTATGGACTCTGGAAAATTCATTCCCACTCTCATTCATGATTATGTATTGAAAGAAGTTCTTCCCATGGGTGTAGAGGCTGAAGAGATTCAAATGAATTCCTTAACCTCTGTGTTGAGAGATTGGATGAAAGCATGTGAAGTGAATTTTTGTTTTCAATTGAATATTTATCATGTCAGTAATTCACAGGAGAGACTTGTTTGTTTGAAATATCCTTCTTCCGTGCAAGAAGATTCACGTGGTGTGGATTCTAGTGAAGAAACACTTGAATCGTTGTTGTTGTTGAAGGGAATGGAACGATTCAATGCTTGCATTTCATTGTTGTTTCGACCTGGACATTACGATTCGATCATTTATGCTCCAAAAAAGTAAAAGATAAAAGAACTCTATTATTTTCATCAAAATTATAATGACAACAACTAATTTATTCAACATTTTCAAAAGATCACTCATCATCATCCAACGAATGAATGAATTTCAAAAAACATGTCATGACAATATTAAAAATGATAATACGGACACAAAGGAATTGAATCAAAAGCCCCCTTCACAACAGCTTAAAATCGTCGATGCATTAGAAGAAATTTCAAACAAGCGCAAGAATTTTGCCTTCCTTGATATATCCACACTGCTCATATTGTGTAATAAATTCACATCGCATGCTCAACAATAAACGCTCAATTTCGCAAACTTCCAACATAGGCAAAAAGGCTACAGCACTGCAGGTTCCCAAGTTGTCTCCAACCTCAGTATACTGAGATGCAGCCCGACGAAGCTTAACTTCTCAGATCGGACGGGATGAGGTGCATTCATCGTGATAGGGCCGTAGCCATTCATGAAAGTATTTCTTTTGATTAATACTAGAAAGATAAACAATAAGAATTGGAAATCGACGGGATGCCGGCCAGGAATATGGCTACTCTCCCGCTACAACCTTTGGTTGGATGAACTGTGAGAAGTCTTTCGATTCTTGTTAGTGATATCTTTGGATCTTGACCTCCACTTTACAAAAAAAATGTCTCAACGTCGTCCGAATCTTCAACACTACTGCTGGTGGTGGTTCGCCTTGATCGCTACAACCTTTCTGATGATGATGATCCACTCTCATTCATCATTTTCCTCATTCGGAGGAGGAATAGTAAAGGCAGAAGAAGTCATGATTGATCTAGAAGGAAATCCTCATATCAAATCCAACGATCAGGGAATGACAAGCCTCTCCACGGTCTATGATGCTCTCAAGACTCATCTCCCCGAACAGACCTTTGCTCAAGTGCGTAGAATTTTGTATGGAAATGAATGGAAGAGCCTCTCGATACCTGAACAAGTCCGATCCTCTGCTGTCAAGAACAAGTTTGAAGTGAGAGCCTATTCCATGATTCATAATGTAGCAAGAGAGCAAACACGTCCTCCACGTATTGTGAGATTGGGTTTGATTCAAAATTCGATCGGAGCAAATACGACGGAACCAGTAGATGTTCAATACAAGGCAATTGAAGAGAAGATTGAGAGAATGATTGATGCTGCTGCTTTGATGGGAGTGAATGTGGTTGGATTGCAAGAAGCATGGACCATGCCTTTTGCATTTTGTACAAGAGAGAAACAGGTAGGTTTTAATATGGTCATGATGATTGATTTGAATTTAATGAATGGATTGAATGAACTGTGTGATGTGAAATTTGTGTGGATGATGATGTGAAATTTTGTATTTTTGATCATCTCGTGCATGACACTTGTCAAATTATTTGATGATGATTACACGTATATAACAGCCATGGATGGAATTTGCTGAGGAAGCAGAAACTGGCAGAAGTACTCTATTCTTGAGAAGACTTGCTAAAAAGTATAACATGGTCATTGTTTCCCCAATTTTGGAGAGAGACTCAGAGCACAATGATGTCATCTGGAACACTGCCGTTGTTATTGGCAATAGAGGTAACTACATTGGAAAGGTCAGAAAGAATCACATTCCACGTGTAGGAGACTTCAATGAAGCTACCTACTACTTGGAGGGTAATTTGGGTCATCCTGTCTTTGAGACTCAATTCGGAAGAATTGGTATCAATATTTGTTATGGTCGTCACATTCCACTCAACTGGCAATCCTACGGATTGAATGGTGCTGAAATTGTTTTCAATCCAAGGTAAGTTTTGGTGGATGGTTCAAATATGATTGTTAATTTTAGTGCACATTTCACACAAATTATGACGGGAATATCCACAAATTATTTCAAATCTTTGACGTTCTTGAAAAACAGTGCAACTGTGGGTGCTTTATCTGAACCAATGTGGCCAATCGAAGGAAGAAATGCTGCCATTGCGAACAGTTACTTTGTTGCCAGCATTAACAGAGTTGGAACTGAATATTTCCCTAATGAATTCACGAGTGCTGATGGAAAGCCAGCTCACAAAGATTTTGGACACTTTTATGGAAGCTCCTATGTTTCTGCTCCTGACGCATCTCGATCACCAGAGTTGACTCGTTTGGGTGATGGTTTATTAGTTGCTGAAATTGATCTCAATCTTAACAGACAAGTGAAAGACAAGTGGATGTTCCAATCGACCTCTCGATATGAAATGTATGCTAAGGAATTGAATGAATTTATCAAACCAACCTTTAAGAGACAAATCGTGAGAGATCCATCCTTGAATGGCGCTTTTGAAGAGGAAACTCCTGAGCAGTCACTCTAATGAATCCATTCCGATCATTGGATACTTATTATTAATTTATTGTTCATTCTGCTGTTTTTTTTTAATGGGATAGTCATTTCGAATCAAAGAATTTTCCAAAATCATCCCTACACGTCTTTCACACGAAAAAATGTCTTTACAACCCAAACTTGTGGTGGTGGATGATAATGATTCATCCGAATTGGATCCAGCCTCATCGTCACCTCCAGAACAACAACAACCTGTGCACGAAGAAAAGTTCCACAAAGTATTACCACATAAATCTCTAAATAAATCATTGTAGGTAGAGAGAATGTTAGCGACGACGACGATTGTCGTCATCATCCAATTCAAATAATATTACTTTTGCGATCGAAATAATCCTGATATGGAAAAATATAATGATGATGATGACGACGCATTGATAGAACCAATCGAATGCAAATTCAGAGATTTGATTCTTTGGATGTGATTGATCGTTTCTCAAATATTAGAATTAGTCCACGAATGTTATTGGAGAAGAAGGAGAGATCAAATGTTGAGAAATCAATTTTAGAGTTGCAAGAAAAATCACGTTGTAAGTGTTGATATGGAATGATGATACAACAAGATTGCAATTGTTGGATGGTTCGTTTATTGTAAAAATTATCATGTGAAAATGTGTGAATATGACAATGATGACTCTAAAAATGGTATCTGACATGTGAAATGTTTTGTGAAATATATTTAGTTGGTAAATTAGAGTTGGCCAATCTCTTCTCCAAATATTCCACACAAATTGAAAATTCGGGACAAGAAAATGGAAGAATGACTCGAGAATTGTTCAGTGAGGCTCTCTCTGAATTGTTGAACATTGATTTTTCTGAAAAGCCAGAAATTCTTGAAAGATATTACAGTACGTGTGTTGATGATCATTCATTGAGCAATATATTTTAATATCAACGTGATCAACATCATGATTATTACAAAATTTTAACATGACATCGATGATAGAAATTTTTGATAGTGACAAGAGTGAAACTATTGATTTTAGAGAATTTGTGACAGGTCTTTCTGTATTGCTAAAAGGTTCATTTGAGGAAAAAGTCGATTGTAAGTATTTTCTGACTCTGTCTAATAGTTATGTCTGTGATTTTTCTTAATGTTTGCATTATCTGAATTCTGCATGCCCACTCTTGACAGTTATTTTCTCTGTCTATGATGAAGATGGAAATGGATTCATTGAGCGACATGAAATGATTCATTTACTGTCCTGTCTTTTTAACAAGAGTCTTTTATTATTAGGGGATGTTCGCACCACCTTGAATTTACCACAAATTTCCAACACTGAAACTTCGCAAATGATTGATCAAGCAGATATTGAAAATATTGTTGACAAGTGCTTTGGACAAGTCAAACAAAGCGGAGATCATTCGTGTAAAATTTCTAAGGCTGATTTTGGAAAGTGGTTGTACAATCAACCTTCATGTATGCAATGGTTGAGTCCTGGAATTTCCAAATAGTCCAATATGAGTGTGACATGCAAAATGAAAAAGAATGTAATGAAATATGTTAATTCAGATTCTTCTCTTGTTACAAGCATTCGTTGAAAATTTTATTCTATAACTTCCTTGCTCGCATTCGTTGAAATTTTTATTCTATAACTTTTCGCGAAAAGTGTTACAAAAATTCCACAAACGAATGGATTTAATTTTAACACAATCTTTCCTTCCTATGGACAGTAGTATGGGAAGTTTTACTGCTCACTTCATGACCGACTAACCACTCACGATCGCAATTTCTGCGCAACCAATAAAAAGCTCAAAAGCTCACCACACGATGGTCACACAAAACAAAAACAATCAAATCAATAATAATTATTCGCAGTTACAACAATGATCCAGAAACTGGTTTCGAAATTGTGAATGATTATCCAATTCCATCCTTGGGAGAGTACTCAGTGTTGGTGAGAAATCAGTATGTCTCTGTTAATCCAGTGGACTACAAGATCAGAAAAGGTTCCCAAAGTGAAGACAACCCTTATGTTCTTGGAGTAGATGGTAAGTTTTCAATGAATAATCATCATCATTCAATAATAATCATTGAACGATTAAATTTCCATTATTGAATAATATTCCAAATGAAACTTCAATCATCACAACCAGTGGTACTGCTGTAGACATTGGTTCCAAAGTCACTAAATTCAAAATTGGTGACGAAGTGAGTGGACCAACCTTTTCAAGTGGCACTTATCAACAATTTGTGGCCTTTCATGAAAATGAGCTAGCTCACAAACCAAGAGCATTGGACCATCAAGTAGGAGCTGCTAACGGTGTGATATTTCTCACGACATTCCAATCATTCCAAAAATTCCACACTGCTAAATCTGGAGAACAAGGATCACTCAAGGGAAGAAAAGTGTTGATTATTGGTGGCTCTGGTGGTACTGGAGCTGCAGCAGTTTTGCTATCAAAACATTATTTCAAAGCAGAGTTGGTGATCTCGATTGCTTCTCAAAAGAATTCTTCGTTTGTGAAATCATTGGGTGCTGATGATGTTTTGGATTATTCAGAAGGAAAGGAACAATTGGAGAAACGTTTGAAGGGCTTGGTTGAGACATTTGACATTGTGTTGGATACGTACGATTGGAGGATATAATGACTATTATGGAATTAATGTTCTCAAGAATTCGCCAGGTTCTGTCTTTGTGACAATAGCGGGAGCATTGCCTTCACAAGGAAACTCTGTGTTTGGTACCAATAATTATTCCTTTTTAGCCATGTCAACGGATGGAACTACTTATGAACAGATTTTGAATTGGCTTGACAAGGAAGGTCTTGCTACTAAAATTCCAATTGCTCACGTGGTGACATTGGAAAATGTCTCTCAGGCTCACAAACTCATTGAAACTCAGAGAACTGTTGGAAAAATTGTCTTGAAAATTCCTCAACCATAATGAATTGTATTCCATTGGATCAGTGCAGATCGCGAAAATACGTATGCAAAAATATATATATAAATCCATATTAAATAGTGATATCAAATATGTCGTCATCAGATGAAACGTCGAGTAATTTTGAAAAATCTTCTTCCTCCTTCTTCTTGGAATTTTTTGAGGTCTTCTTATCACCGACTAGGGAGGGTGATTTAGGAGGGTCGTCCTCGACGTCGAACACAACACCATGTTCTTCATCTTGTCTACTTGATTTTGCGATCTTTGTTTGTTTAGAGTTTGGCTCTTCTTGTTGTTGAGTGTCTTGCACCAAGTTAGGATCATTTTCATATTCTTCACTGTCACTCTTTGGTTTCTTTCTCTTAAATCTCAAACCACCACTCGTGTTTGTAACAATGAATCCTTCTCCATCTCCACCATCCGAGAGATTATCATCCTTTACTTCTTCCTCAGAATCGTAAACATCAAACAACTCATCTACAATATCAATAACACCTGTTTCTTTGGAATTGGCATAATTTGCTTCGGCTTCTTCCGTGAGCTTGATGTACTTTCTAAACATGCCATCAATCCAGCTCTTCTTTGATAAAATTTTTTCCAAAATATAGTCACTTGTTATTTCTTCTTCGCCGGTGTAACTTTCTGCTATTTTGTCAATTTTTGAAATAATGTGTTGAATGAGATGAAACTTGTAGTGTTGGAAACTGTGATAAAGTAAGGATCTTTTGTAGCAAGTAGATCCAACAAATCTCTTCT